AACTAGCACCAAATATCCTATTGCTCTGATACCACTTGTTGGGAAAAACCTGTTAAAGCGGAATAATTCTTTTCCCTTGTATCAAAATGGGTTCCTCGTCAAAATACCAACTTGATATCAAAATACAAATATCAACCAAAACAACATAAATAGTAGAGTGATAAATCAATCATACAGTGAAATCAAATATTTAATGTGAAATACCCAATGTGAGAAAAACTACGGGACCGTAGTCCATCTCAAATTTTCACTATCAATAATAATGATAACAGGTTTACAATAAGTCTTCTCTAAAATAGCAAGAGGATCACAATAACATCAAAATCATATATCTTAGCTCAATAATAGCATATCTTTATCGTATAGATGGATCTCATTATAAGAGAATTTTAGGTTTTACAAACTAAATATCACATGAAAGTACCTCAGAGAGGGTAAACTGCAGATCAACACCGTTAGGATTATAGAGCTTGCTGTAAAGATTCTCTATATAAAATTTGGGTCAAAATTGACAACGTTTAACTACTGATCGTTAAGCAGAAAACTCATAATTCTATTTTTCTTTCTCTTTTCTCACGTTCGTTGTCTCTTTTTTAATAATTGATTTGAGTTCAAAATGTCCGATTGTCCAAATCCACGTATGGACTGGACCAATAATATATGAATTTTCTTAATGTGCTTAATTTAAACTTAGTTGTCGTCATATTAAATTTACTATAAGTTATAAAAAAAAAGTCTATACATGGGTCTGATCACGAGCTAGAATGCTACAGGTACTTGTGTTCCTCTGCATCAAGTCTGTGCCAGTGCCATATGTCCGACACGAGCGGTTCCTTGTGGGCAGAATTGGCCCAAAAGAATGCAGGGTCTATAGGTGCATTGCACGGTATGGGTATCATGACATTCACAAAGATGATTTAGAGTTCGAGAAGGACCTTTGTTTGCAGTATAGCAGAGTTTATTCGGTCAGGTGTCTCTCGGCCGAGTGGTATTGCAGAACAATCCGAGAAGAATGATGACAGAATGGCTGTCGTTGCAGCTGGATTACGAATGTGTGAAGAAGATGCTGACCTAGGAGATGAAATTGGCGCTTTGGGTGGAAGGGAGATACAATCACCTGTTACCAGAAGGAAGAAGAAGGTGAGGTTTGTGCTGCTGGAGAGCCCACATATGGATGCCAACGCAAGGGAAGAGCTCCAGGAGCTGATGGATGCAAGGGACGCTGGCATGGCATTCATACTGGGGCATGCCGATGTCAGGGCGAAGAGTGGATCTGGTTTGATTGAGAGGTTTGTGATCAACGTCGAGTACAATTTCTTGAGGAGGAATTGTAGGAATCCAGCTTATGCAGTGAGCATTCCTCGTGCATCAACTTTAGAGGTCGGGATGGTATATGATGTCTAGGTTGTCATAATAGTGATATAGATTGATATTTTGCGTATATGATGTCTAGGTTGTCATAATAGTGATATAGATTGATATTTTGCATTTAAATTAGTAAAGTATTCAATTTCTCTTTTCATGCTATCGATTTTAGAAGCTTAGATCGGCTATGCCAGCCGTCAAGAACAGATGTTGTAGCATGAAAAGGGATCCTTTTTTGTGGATTCTTATGTATTGTGCTAAAGGGAGCAACCTCTCGTGTTGAGTTACCATTATTGGAGATTCATGTCTCATTAAAAGAGAATAGGGTATTTAGCATGAATTGAGTTACCATTATTGGAGATTCATGTATCATTAAATTAACAGGATGTTGGCCATACCTTCTTGTTCATTGTTACCATGCTGGACTTCCCATTCTCAAACTTGTAATAAAATCTTTTGGCACCTAATACATTTATTAGCAAAGAATAATATATTACATCTACAGAAATGTAATCAGCAATTAGGAATTGTTTCTATGCCTTCAATTTATATTTCTACAGCTCCAACACAAAAATTTGACATGAAAAAAATAGATGAAGCTTTGCAAAGCCAAAAGGCCTAACTTTTTCTTGATTCTCAATCCAAGAGTAGCAGAGTTCATATCATTTGCATGTAACAAGGATATCCACAGCTAGGAATAACAAAGCGAGATCTCTGTTTGCACCCACCAAATACACAAAGTAAACATCTAGAAGAAAATACAGGGAAGAAAACAGTGATATTATACCTCCGCAGATGGCCAGCAGGAAAGGACTGGCCACAACTCCCGAGTGATGAGCGATGCTTCCAGTTTCAGTCCGGTGTGAAGAACCTGTTGAGCTTAAATGGCAAGGAGTAGAACTCCTCACTTCTGGGGTCCTTCTTAAAGGTCCTGAACTTGTCCCAGAAGTGATACCCCCTATCTTTCCTGGTTGAGCTCTCATGCAACTGCATAGTGTTGTCCAAGAAATATGCCACAAAACCCGCAACAAGCGCTTCCGAGGAGAAGATGACGTTGACGATATCGTTGAACTGGAGAAGCAGAGGGCCTTCAGTCTAGAGTAGGCAATGTGGAGAAATCATAGTTCATGAGCGTACCCATCTTGCACCAGTATGTACAGGTCCATAGCCAGCAACAGAAGTATACTCCTTGAAGTATTGTGGAATGGACAAGCCCAGAAACACAGAGAATCCTAAGATGAACTTTGTCCTGAAGCTGTTGAGGTTGCTGAATTGAAGTAAACCGAGTCCTGCAGCACCTGTTTGTAGATGACAACATAGTTTCCATATGAGACAGTACTCATGTCTAATTTGCTTGGTACCGAGGTCTCAGGGGGGCGTACCAACATAAGCAAAGAAAAGACAGTATAGTGCTGCAATGATTGATCCTGGAATGGACGCAAAAACAGCTCCAAATTTTCCTGCAAGGAAGCGAGCAGAAGAGAGATAGTATACACTGTTCTAGTTGACATTTTCGATTTGTAATTAACATCAGACAACATGAACCTCTGATCAAGAAGACGAGTTAGATTCATGGAACCACCACAGTGCATGATATAACAGCTAAAGAACTGGCTATCGAATGTGCAATGCACAAACTATGCTTATGTTTATTGAGATTTTGAACTTTCCAAGAGACTGATTCACCAATATCCTACAACTTTTGATCCATAGCACCCGATCGATGCTACTAACAACATGTTCATCCTTTTCCTTTCAGGTGAAAAAAGAGGTGTGCTTTAATTCATACCATCACATTTCTATAGACAAAAGTTTGAGCAACTCACCGAGTATGGAAAAGAATATCATGAATCCTGCAGATATTTGAACCACTCTTCGGCTGCCAACACGAGTCAAGGCTAGCAAGCCAGCATTTTCACTGCATGATCAAATGTTCAGAACAGTAGACTAGACATAAATAATATTAAAGCATGTCCATTAGGATCATGTTAATCTAATCCATGGCCTTACACGGACGCTGTGGAACCATTGGCCGTTCCAAATATCCCATCCAACAATATCCCAATTCCCTGAAGCAAACAGATGATTACAACCGGTGCTACAAGACTCACCTACATGTAAATCTTGGTCTGCAGTAAATACATGGAAGTCGTGTACCTGCCAACCGACGCCCCGACTTAGGATCGAAGGGGGCACTTGTGTCGCGCTTGCATACCTCGAGACCGCAATGAAAGTACCAGTTGACTACATTGAAAAAATGTTTGGGCAATTATATTTCACAGACAAATTTCATCATCATCAGCTGCAGAAAAGAACGTGACATAAACTTGTAATGAGATACGGTGACATAACAGACCTCCACAAGAGCAACAAAAGAAGCAACCATCATTGCAAAAGCTTCTCCGGCTTCAAAGGTTGGGGCTCCCCATTGGAAGGGGTATGGTATTCTTATCCTGCAGATGAGAAAGAAATTGCAGATAGTGGTGCTAGCTTCTCGTGGAATCTGACTCAACATGTTCATGTTGATGATACCAATAGCATGGTAACCACCTTTTAGCGTACAAGTCTATCTGAGCCTTCTCCTCTGAGACCGGGCAATTCAACAATACACACTTGGGACTTGAAATAAGACAGAGAAACATGAAAATATAACCACAAAGATGAACTACTGGGCATTACCAAGGAGATGCAGCGACGAGACCAGAACGATCGGTACGACAATGTTGTTGAGTTTTTGGTGCCGCATGCCTATATGCACCTCCTACAGTGAGGATGAATGCATAAAGCCATACAATAGCGACGGAGAATATGACAGCAAAACGGTCAAAGATGTTCTTCTTCAAATGTATTGCATGCGGTACATACTGCAAATAATCAAACTTGTATTGAGTAGCAAAAGTCAAGAAACATGCCACGAAACTATCTGCATGTTGTGTGGTAGGCAGCAGTTCAGAGCTTCAAAGTTGATCTCTATACCTGCGAAACTATTACTAGCACTATTAGCTGTGGAAGTCCAATCTCAATGCATTTTGCAACCTGTACAGAACAACGCATGTTATCAGTAATCGCAAATCATGTACCAAAACGAATGTAATAATAGTCAAGTGTTCCCTCATGCATCACAGTGTAAAAGAGATCAAACAGAGGCCAAAGCCAGCCAAAGAGATCTTACTCCAGGGAAGCCAAGTTGATAGAGGCCGAAGCCAGCCAAAGCGACCAACGGTGCAGCCGAAAGAGGACTAAGGAATCTGCAGCCAGTACACGTTGAAGATTCAGCTAAGCATAAACTCAAACACCCCGTTCGAATGAAACTAAGATGCAACGCTATTCCACGTCAGACCTTGTGACCAAACGCCATAGGCCGCTGAAGCCTATTATGATCTGGACGACTGAAGCAACGATCAGCGCGCCCTGCGTCCCCCGCATGGTCCGCAGGAATCTCTGCATGCCAAGACCAACCACTTGAATTTTATAGTGACATATTTTGATGCAATTAGGAGTATCACAAAGCTGGGAACCTTGTGAGGATCGATGATGTCGTTGTAACGATCGTTCAGAATGATTGAGATGGTGGGCACAACAAAGGTGTATGAACCTCCAATTACAGCGGGTAAACGAGTGCCAAAAAGTGTTTGCAACAGAGTGTTCAACCCAGCCACAAAAAGAAATGTTTGTATGACTCTGGCCTTCTCATCCTAAGAAAAGAAATTGCTTTAAGATCAATTAGAACGACAGCTTTCGAAGTATGAGATCGTCACTATCGAGCGGGAGAGCCTCACATTTCCTCCACCCATCTGAGGAACAAGAACGGTAGGAATGATAACGGTGGTGCCTAGCATCACGAGGTAATGCTGGAACCCAAGAAGAATAGCCTCGGCTGCATGAGAAACCCCGTAAATGAATCAGATGACATCCCAACTTCAAGAACCCGTAGTCTACGAATACTTGGTACTGAAAAGACTGCAGCTACAAAACTATGAGTAGCAGCGGTACAAGTAGCTGCAGCAATTTCTAGATTCTAAACAGAAACTTTCTTCTGCTTTTGTGTAGATCCAGTCTGAAGGCTAATTGAAACTAGAAACTAAGCTTTATAGGCATAGAAAACAGAAAAAAAACAAGAGTTACTTAAACAAGCAAGCAATGATTCCCTTGACGATGCAAGGAGATTCAGCAGGACAGAATTCATGAATCATAAAGAAATTATAAGTATACTTGTCATAAAACAGAGCAGCAAGTATAGTTTGGTTGGAACGTACGCCAGGGAGGAGGGCTGGTGATGCAGTAGGAAACATTAGGTAGCTGCTCCTTCACGGGGTGGGGCTGTGTGTCGTCTTGCTTCGGCGCTGCTCCCGCCGATCCTCCACCTCCACCACCAGCCATCCTTGTTTCTCCCCTCCTATTACCACAACCCCCACAACTGAACCCTCCGCTCCCTCTGCCTCCAGGAAATCAGATGATGCTCATGTCCGGCACTATCATCATCCAGACTGACTGCAAATAAATAATCATATCAGGAAAGCTAGCAACAACAAGTAAACAAACGAACCGATAAGAACTAGCCAACAAGAACAAGAGCAGGAAAGAAGATACTGAACCGCCATCCTTTTCCTTCCAATTTTTATGAATCACTAAAGATGCGAAAGAGATTAAACAAGGCTAAAAGGTGGACACCTTCACTTGCTTCCAAGCTCCTCTTTTCTTCCTTGGTGCAGAGTCAACGGAATCGGCAAACTTGTATGGGAGCGAGGCAGGGTGTGCGAAGAGACGTGTTTGGACTCGGAAGACAGAACGGATAGTGGAGCTTGAAAGGAGGGTTGGAGCAGGGTAAACCTGAAACAGTCCACATGAATCAGTGTAGCAAAGATGTGCAGCCGACACCTTCCTCCTGCATGCGGTTGTCACCCATAACACCATTCACGTCTTTATCAGAAACTTACAAGAAGCTGGTAATTGTGGCGGTAATCTTTTCAGTTTACCATGTCATCAAGCTTGTCTCGTTTCCACTTCGTTCTCCGCCTTCACTGCTCCCTGCTGCGTACCCCTCACGCTCGACGTCACCTTCATCATCTTCATCACCAACACCACCTCAATCACCATAAATTCCCGTGTCTGCAGCGAAATGTACGCATCCATCAGAGTCATAGGGCCATTATCGATGGATACATAGGAACTAGGGATATTATATGCATGCCATCGTGCTGCAAATCGACTGCTTGATATAGCAATTTCATAAATACCACTCGTGTCGATGGAAAAAATACTTTGTACGTAAGAATGTCATCTACAATTTTGGTTCCGGGATTTGGCGAGCTGATGCATATGCTAATAAATTTGGCTTTGCTAATGATGGTAAAACTAATTCCAGATCCTTCGAAGTTTGATTGAACGTACTGAATAATTGAATAGTCTGTTTTGATATGTTTGATTTGTCCAATTCCAACACTTACCAGACAATGACTCCTCACTGCCTCACGACGCGTCGCCCAATCGCCAGCCTTGGCGTGGGCTGTGTGAGTTATTTCGAGGAAAGGGAAAGGCCACGAGTCCTGCAACAGATAGCCACATCCACACAAACAAATATTCATAAAGAAATATATACCAAGTGGTGGATTATTGATGATGGTTTCCGGTCATAATGTCAAGCATACTCGCCAATCGATCCACCTTCATGAGATTTCTGGCTGAAGGAGAGCAGAATATGGCCCTCAAAGGTGACTAAAACCTACAATGGTTCTCTCTTCTTCTCACTTTCTGGTCTCCCTGTTAATGTTTATGCAGATGAAACCAAATTTAATGTCAGCAGACGTACATCTTTGAGCGAATAAAACCTACATTTCTGTAAGGTTGTAGGACAGGTAGAATCTCATTCACTACATCGGAGGAGAGTATGTAATTTCAGTTGCTACAGTATAAGCCATCAAGGATTGTCCAGGGTTGTGCAGCATCACACTTCCTGCATTCAAAAGGAGATTATTAACCCTTCCGAAGAAGTATTTTCTATATCAAAAACCGAGTAAGAATAATCTTAAATACTTGAATCTGGCATTTGTACAAACACTAATACTTGAATCTATGCACAATCATTCCCCACGCATTCAAGATTGGACATGGAGCATAAGACTTCCTGCATCCAAAGCAGAGCCTTAACCTTTCCAACAAATCGACTTGTCTATCTTGAAATATATAGTAAGAAGAATGTGACATTGATTACAAAGAAAATTATAAGTCTGGCTATCATCATGACAAGGACAAGCATGTGCCATAGTTTAAATGCAAAATCCCAGACTTTACAGAACTGGTTTTGTCATTGATGAACTGGCAAATGCTTCTTAGCAGATGACAAACACAAGGATTCCACAAGCTTATCCTATATCAAGCAACACGTAACCCTAAATGCCGAGACAAGACTTATATCATAAATATGTAAACTCGACACTTTCCCATGCTCAAATCAGCAAAAGGAAGGAGCACCTCTGGGCTATCTTTTAGAGAGCAAAACCCAAACAGCATATGAACACTGAACAAGCAAGATCATGCACATTCATATTTCATTCATTTGCCGGAAGTGGTAAATCATTTATTGTCTCTCCTTCCAGTTGACTATCCTTCGCCTGGGTATTGAAGGCGAAAAAGACAGTTTGAAAGGATGAAAAACTTGTATTGCAATGTGCATATTACAAGTCCTTATAGACACTTAATCAATATAGAGAAAAGTAAAAGAATGACAAGGGAAAAAAATAATCAAATCCCTAAAATTATGTACTTACATTAATCAAACATCTAAATTTATGAAATTGAATTTGGTTGAGAATCTTCTTTAATGGAGTGATTTATTGGATAAGATTTTTTCTTAATATGTCATGGTGCTTCCATTAGAAATACTAATCTTGAATCGTGACGCCCGATTTGACCATGAGTTTTATAAGGATTTCAGCAACTTGATCATGTATGGAGACATGAGCAACTTGAAGAGAACCAATGACAACCTTATATGAAACAAATGATAATTGAGGGCGATGTGCTTCATATGAGAATGAAATATCCGGTTAGTGCATAAGTCACACCAATATTATCATAAAGAAAACGAGGAGGTTGACTAAGCGAGACATCCAACTTAGATAGAAGATTAGTGAGTTAAGATAACTCGATCATAGTAAAGGAAATGGAGTGATATTTAGTTTTCGTGGATGACCGAGCAACTATTTGTTGCTTTTTAGAGCATCATGCTATTGAGTTGGTTCCAATAAAAATGACATAAGCCAAGATGGATGTGAAGTCATTATGATTACGAGCATGATTGAAGATAATAAGAGATGGTATGTTTGAGATATTAGTGAAGATGCTTGGCAGCCATCCAAAGAGTTTGAGCGGGTAGGTGCACATAAGTTCGTTGCGGATATAAGTGATAGCAGATAAGATTTCCCTAACTATATGAGTAAATCTCTCTATTCTAATAAGATTTTCCTAACTGTACGAGGAAATCTCTCTACTTTGTTGATGGAAATCATCTCTCTTAATCTGTATAAATAGGAGGAGAATAGGTTCAATATAAAATAGCTTCTTTAATAATTCTTCTTGTCTTCTATTCTTTCCAACAATAAGAAATATCTGAATAGGAAAGTGATAAGTATTGCATGACACTAATAAGACTATGATATTAGACAGCATTTGTAGTATTGCATGACCCATCATGTTGTGGTGTTGAGAGAGGTATGACTATCTCTTATATGCTTTCCATCTTGAAGTGCTCAAGTAAATCTCGAATATAATCATGTTGTGAGAAAAAGAAGCCTTCAACAATAGATATAACTTCGATTCCCAATAAGTAGTAGAGATTGCCAAGACTTTAATCAAGGATCTTCTAGAGAGAACAGCAATAACATCCCGAATATATAGCTGAGTGTTTTTTGTGATTAATAAATCATCTACATAAATGACAACATAAACTATGATAGGCTTGTCAGTATATATATAAAAATAAATATTTAGAATTAATAAAGCTAAGGGTGAGAATAAAATTTTTCAATTCATAAAACCATGCATGCGGTGCTTGTTTTAACTCATAGAGTGACTTATGAAGACGACACAAATAATTCGAGCATAAGACATCAACGGAGCCCAACGATTGAGATATATAGATTTTTTTCAGTAAAATGACTATGAATAAAAATATTATTAATATCCAATTGATTTATCATCCGTCCATAAGTGAGAGCAAGAGAAAGAACAAGTCAAATTATATGTGATTTGATTACCGAGTTGAAAGTTTCATGACGGTCTAATATAAAACATTGATGAAATCCCTTAGCTATAAGCCGAGCTTTATAACGAGCAATACTTTTATCTAAATTTAGCTTAATTCTAAAAGCTCATTTGTAATTGTTGATGTTTTGGTCGAAAGCACAAAGAACATACTCAAATTTTTCATTTTTTATGAGACCATTAAGCTCTTATGTGGCCTCTCTCCACTTGCTTGAGTGACCAAGGAGCGTTCAAAGTGTCGAAGGAATGAGATATTTAGTCGTGAGATGAAGCATTTTTTATTTAAAAATATTATTTTATGATATGGTGATCATGCTATGGGTACGTTGAGGGATTGCAGATGTTTATGGTGTCCGATAAGAGATCGAAAGTGATGGACCATACTTTGAAAGTAACTTGCTCTAAGGTAAGTCAAACGATGCTGCTAGAGTGGTGTTCATACGATGAAGATCAACCACCAATGATCAATTGCTAGCTTGCATTGAGTTGAGGGGCCCGATGTATCTGAATAGGAACTGGATGTAGTTGATGCATGAATCGAACTTTGCAGCGACTCATGAATGGAAGGTGAGAATGCATGATTACCTACCAAAGCTGGGTTTTTAAAAAGAATGTTAGAAGAATCATGAATGAAAGGCTATTGAGTTTTTAACGGATATTGATTAATAGGAATTTTCAAATATAGAGATTGCAATGATAGTGCCGTATTTTATCATCAATTTGTGGATGAAAATTGATCTTCAACAAATTGAATATAACATGAAAAGTAAATCTTAAGTTTAATTAGATCAAAGCAAATGTCAGAATTATAGACGTTTGAATAACTTTAAAAAGTATAAGGTTTGGGACGTTGCTCTAATTTATGTTTGTTATAAGGCTGAAGCCATGAATAACAAAGACATCAAAATATTCATAATTTTAAATAATTAGATTTGGTGTGAAATAAATGCTAAAAAGGTGATTTATTCTTAAGAAAAGGTATTGGAAGTCAATTAATAAGATAAACAATAGTTTTAAATATATAGGTTCAAAATGCTTGACGAAGGAGGGTAAGGTCTATTTCAATAATATATCGATGACGACATTCAACGGAAGGCATGTGTTGGGGGGGGGGGGTGTGGGGAGGAGAAATTAAATATTGAATTGTATGATATTTTGTTAGGCCTTGATATTCTTTTTCCATGTCCAAATATATTGTGTGTGGGGAGGAGAAATTAAATATTGAATTGTATGATATTTTGTTAGGCCTTGATATTCTTTTTCCATGTCCAAATATATTGTGTTAATAGATGTTTTAAAAAACTTTTCGACCATGGTTTTAAATTTTGAAAAAATATATATAATATTTATGAGCCATTGGGAATAATCATGAATATTTTATGAAGTAATCAACAAAGATAACAAAATAGGAAAGACCATCCATTGAACAAATTGGATGACCCCGAATATCAAAGTAGATGAGATCCAATAGACTATAACTTTCTAAGGTTGAGACACTAAAGAGCGGCTTGTGACTTTTATTTGAATTACATGAATTACAAAATGAAAACTTGGACTTACTCATGGGAATAGGAAGATTA